ATGATTCAAAAAGAACATATAAATAGATAAAATATATACCAGAAAAGGTCTCATTCCCATCAATTTCCCATCTATCCAGTACCTAACATGTTTATTAGTCTCTTATCCTTCCCGAGTTTCTTTATGCAAATTAAAATATATTGTTATTCCACCAAGCTATCCTAGGTGAGGACACTTGGGCTGAGCTGGCAGCAACTAGTGAGTGCTAGGCCAGAGGATTTGGTCTGGCTGTCTCTCACTGGCTTTCTCAAAATGGCCCTTGTTCCGAGAGCGCGTACATTTGTACATGTAACCTTGAAACATGAATTCCTGATTTCAGGATCCATTATGGCTGGGGCTCTAATATCTTTACCTGACCTGTGTGCAGGGGAAGGCTCAGACCCTCCACAGGAAGAGAAGGCCCAATCCACTGTTTCCTAAGAGTGAGCTGGGCACAATAGGTTCTACTGTAACTGCCAAGCAGAGCAAAACCTAACTAAAGAATATCAAAGCCCAGGCTGAGAACATTCCTCCCTTTCCAGTTTTCCTCCATTTTTTTTTTTTAAGACAGTCTATCTCTCTCTGTCAACAGGCTGGAGTGCAGTGGTACGATCTTGGCTCACTGCAACCCCTGCCTCTTGGGTTCAAGTGATTCTTCTGCCTCAGCCTCCCAAGTAGCTAGGACTATAGGCACACACCACCATGCCTGGCTAATTTTTGTATTTTTAGTAGAGACAGGGTTTCACCATGTTGGATAGAATGGTCTTGATCTCTTGACATCGTGATCTGCCTGCCTCAGCCTCCCAAAGCACTGGGAGGTCCCTCCAACTTCTTATTATGGAGACTGTCTTTGTTTTAATGAAGGATTTTTAAAACAGACTTTTTAAGAGCAGTTTTAGGTCTGCAGAAAATTGAGCAGAGAGTTCCATATACTCTCCTTCTCTCCTCTGCCCCTGGTTCCTGACACAGAGCTCCTAAAATCCTTCTCTTAGGAACCTCAACTACTAATGAGCGTATGTGTAATACGCCCCTGGTTCCCGACACAGAGCTCCTAAAACCCTTGTAAATAAAGGTGGTAGGAGACTCTTCTTCCCATATTTGGTCTTGTTTTGTTCCCAAAATTTGATCACTGACCCTGGGGTTGACACAGAGCTACTGAAACCTTTGCAATTTCCTGAGTGATAAGATCTGAGGCTGGGCGAGATGGCTCACACCTGTAATCCCAGCACTTTGGGAGGCCAAGGCAGGTGGATCACGTCAGGTCAGGAGTTCGAGACCAGCCTGACCAACATGGTGAAACCCCATCTCTACTAAAAATATATAATTAGCTGGGTGTGGTGGTACATATCTGTGATCCCAGGTACTCGGGAGGCTGAGGCAGGAGAATCGCTTGAACCCAGGAGGTGGAGGTTGCAGTGAGCCGAGGTTGTACCATTGCATTCTAGTCTGGGGGACAGGATGAGACTCCATCTCAAAAAAAAATATATATATGTGTATATATGTATACATGTGTGTATACGTGTGTGTGTGTGTGTGTGTGTGTATAGATATATAAGAAAAAACAGCATCTGACACAGAACTCCTAAATCCCTTGGAATTTCCCAGGTAATAAGAGCATATTTTATTCTAATCAGGCAATTCTTGGTGAGATCCTAGATGGGGGCTGGTTATGACAAAGACCAAGCCATGATTAGAAACTAAGAACTTTCAGTCTTACCTCCAACCTCCCAAGTGGGGAAAGGAGCTAGAGATTGAATTTATAACCAATCATGCCTACATGATGAACCCTTCATAAAAATCCCTAAAAGATGGGGTTCACAGAGTTTCTGGGTAGGTAACATGTGCCAGGAGGGTGGCAAACCCCAACCCCATGGGGACAGAAGTTCCTGTGCTCAGGACTCTTTCAGATCTTCCCTCTTCATGGCTATTCACCTTTATTCTTTGTAATTTCCTTTATAATAAACCAGTAAACATATTTCCCTGAGTTCTGTGAACCATTCTAGGTTATTGAATTCAAGGAGGGGGTTGTGGGAACATCCAATTGGTGACAACCTGAACTTGCAACTAGCATCTGAGGTGGGGGCAGTCTTGTGGGATTAAACTCTTTGTGATGTCTGGGCTAACTCCAGGTAGACAGTGTTGAAAGTGACTTGAATTAAAGGACACCTAGCTGGTACGGAAGAATTTGCTGATGTGAGAAAACCCCACACACATCTGGTGTCAAAAATGAAGTTCTGAAAGTATTGAGAATCCTTAGTACAGAAGCTAACAGTTTGTTTTTCCCTATACACCGAGTCCTTGCTTTTCCATATGAACTTTAGAATCACTGTTAATATCCATAAAATAATTTGTTGAAATTTTGATTGGGAAGGTATTGAATCTATAGACCAAGTTGGGAAGAAATGACACCTAAACAATATTGCATGTTCCTTTCTATAAACATGGAATATCTCTCCATTTATTTAGATCTTTAATTTCTTTGATGAGAGTTTTAACATTCTCCTCATAAAGATCTTGTATATACTTTATTAGATTTACCCGTGTCTCTTTTTGTCTGGTGTCACTATAAATGGTATTGTATTTTTAGTTTCAAATTTTAATTGTTCTTTGTAGGTATATAGGAAAGCAACTGAGTTTGGTAAATTAACCTCATATCCTGCAATCTTGCTACAATTACTTATTAATTCCAGGTTTTTGTTGTTGATTTTGGGGATATTCTATATAGAAAAAGAATTAACAATATTCTACACAGTCATGTCATCTGTGAACAAAGACAGCTTTATATTTTTATTCTTAATCTGTATATCTTTTATTTCCTACTCTCATTGCATCAACTAGAACTTCCAGTATGATGCTGAACAGTGTTAAGTGGGGACATCCTTGCCCTGTTCCTTGTCTTAGGGGGAAAGCATCTAGTTTCTCATCATTAAAGATGATGTTAGATGTAGATTCTTTTAATAGATGTTCTTTATCAAATTGAGGACATTTCCCCTCTATTCCTAGTTTGTTCCAAGTTTTTATGATGGATAGAGTTTGGATTTTGTCAAATGCTTTTTCTGCACCTACTGATATGATCATGTGATTTTTCTTCTTTAGCCTGTTGATGTGATGGATTAATTAGTTGCTAAGGGTCTCTAGCCTTGAATACCTGAGATAAATTCCACCTGGTTGTGGTAATTATTTTTGTACATTGTTGGATACAATTTGATAGTATTTTGTTGAGGATTTTGTATCTATATTTATGGTCTGTAAAGTTGTCTTTTAAAATGTATAATAGGCTGGGTAATCTCAGAGCTATCAGTTACACTTAAGTGGTAATTAATCAGATTATTGTTCTTCTGAAACCTAAAACTCTATGAACTGTAATGAGCCAGAGACATTATGATCAGAGGGAGGACATGGAACAATTAGAAAACAAGGTAGGCTTTAGCCAGTTGCAGCATCTGAAAAGTATGAAAGCTGTAATTTATACTACTTTCCTTAGTTTTTAAGTTTTAAATCAGAGGAGGAAAAAAGAAATCAGCCCAAGAAGAGTAGGGACATAATATCTAAGTACCTGAAATAAATTATTGTTCCCTTAAATTGGTTTTGTGAAATACAATAGCCTTGTCTGAATTTTAACTTAAATGTAATGCAATCTAAGCCCCAGGTTCCGTAACTTGCATACAGTTTTATAAGTCAAAGATAGTAAGGATCTGCAGTGGTCAAGCTTTTCTCTACCCAAGCCCAAGCCTGCTCCACCAACAACTCTTCATACCCCTATACTACTGTTATTTCCACTACACTGAGTACCAACAAAAAGAAAAAAGAAAAGTATCTTATTCATAAGCTTTTTCCACCAGCAGTCTCCAAATTGCCTTTGTTTCTTCTTTTGGTTAAGCCATCTAAACAGATGAAAACTGAACTCCTTCTGCTGGAATAAATCTGATCTGGCAGGGGGACAGGGAATAGAAAGGCTGAGGGTTGGCAACCGGCTATCCTGTGCCTAAAAGGGGAGCAGAGCTTTAACCTGCGGGCAAAGGGTGTTTGGAGGAGGAATTATGAAGTCATAAGAAGTCCTGTCCATCTCCTTTAGGAACAGTTCTGCTGCTGGAACCTGTGATGTCATCTGCTATTGGTTTTACATGGCTAACCAGATGCAGAAAGATACCCTCTGAGTGTTCCCCAAACTAACAGCAATTTTAAAACAGAATATAAAGTGTGCTGAGTGGATTTTTACAAATGGTATTCTGCACTTAATGCTGACCAAAAAAAGAGGACTGATTCATAATATGGAAGTGTCAACAGCTCTTCAGAGAAAGTGAATAGAAATAAGGGAAAAGAAAGCTGTGCTGTCTCAAATGTGCTAAACTTTAAGAAAGAAAATTTCAAAAAAGTTTACAAAAAAGCGTAAGAGAAAAAAAAAAGTATACTGATAGCTATAGTTTCTGAAAGGAATTCCACTGGAAAATAAAATAGGTGCCAGTATCTGAAGAAATTTGTGGTTTCCCAGGAAGCTCAAGTTTTAAGCCACTAACAAAAAAGAAAAAGGAGCAGATTAACTAAGTAGGGAATACACAGGAGTGGAACAAGCACAGCCCACGTGTACCCTCTCCACATTCTTCCACTGCTCTCTGTCTAGTCAAATCTCTCCAGGGCCAGCTCAACTCTCCTCCATAAAACCTTCCTTCTTCAATCCTGATTCATACTGACCTCTCCCCAACTCTGTATTTGGCAATTAACTTCCTTGCCTCCCCAATTCAAATTTCATTTATGAGACTGTAGGGCCTATGTCACACATGTCTTGGTGCCCCCAGAGTGCCTATAAATACCTCCTAAACAGCAGAAGATAAATAAACATGTGCTGATGGACTCAAGCCAACCAGTGTTTTCAGGAAAAAAAGAGACTAAAGCAGATGTACAAAACAGATTTTGAGCATGCACTGTAAATTGTACTTAATACTCAATCCAATTCAAATCAATTTTGTAACAAGTAGAATGAATAGGAACTGTCACCTGAAATTGTAAAAATAGCACAGTACCTGCAGGAGACTTTCTATAGCATGAAAACCTCGAATTAAATTCAGAGCTCCACATAAAAGACTAAGGATAAATCCCACAATCCCTGACAGAGTTGCTGGTTCCAGTCGCTGGTGAGCTGGAAAATAAAAGAAATAGTTAGAAATGAACACCAATACCTCACATAGATGAACTCATGTAAAACAGAAATTCACTGCTCAACTTAAATGGGCCAAACAGATACTTCACAGAATTATTTAACAACATATATTCACAATTAAATACGCTTATAAATTTAAAATGCTTGTCAACACAAAAGCTTCATTTCCCTTAAATTATTTTTCTCTCATTTTATTTTTTTGGAGACAGTGTCATGATCACAGCTCACTACAAGCCTCAAACTCCAGGGCTCAAGTGATCCTCATGACTCAGACTCCCAAGTATCTATGATTACAGGCATATGCCACCATGCCTGGCTAATTTTTTCTTGAATTTTTTTGGAGAGACAGGGTCTCATATGTTGCCCAGGCTGGTCTTGAAGTCCTGGCCTCAAATGATCCTCTGGCCTTGGCTTCCCAAAGTGCTGGTATTACAGGCATGAGACACTGCATCTGGCCTTTCTCTACATTTTTAAGACATATAACTTGCATTTGGGATAGACAGTGCTAAGGAATGCTCGCAACTGGCAGTAAATCATTTAGAAAAAACCTTACTGCTTAAACATGTCTACTATTTGCAAGTAGGTGCAAGTATTTGTAAAGGTGACTTTGCTCGGAAATTCATTGCATAATCCTCCTTTTTTTGAAACTGCTTAGGAAGCATTTTTAAGTACAAACATAGCATACTTTTAAGCAAAACTTTCCCTTATTTGGGTTCCAGGGCTATAAATACCACTGGATATGTGTGAAAGCTCATATATAATCAGCAATCTGAACTCCAAAACAGAATGAAGTCTTATAGCTATGAAGTTCCTGATCCTCTGAATAACACTGTAAGGTAAAACCGACAAAACACCAGCTGAAGAAGTGACCACTCTATTTTCATAAATATATTCCCTTATCTTCCAGGGCTTCTGCAGCTGAAGAGTTATACAATAGCTTCCTTTCATCATCATCGTCTTACACTTAATAGAATTAACAACAGGGTCTACATGAAAACACAAAACTAAATACATAATCATCTAGACTTCAAAAGAGAGACAGAGGGAAAGAGAAGCAAGAGAATCATATTAGAGTATTTTATTTAAATCACTGAAGTGTAAATGCCCTAACAATTAAGTTAATGAGGTGGAACATTAATATAAGGGTGGGCTTAAATCTCTGCAACTTATATTCAGCCATTACAGCACAACACTTTCCCTAAACAGTTGTAAAAATACAAGAATCCACATATCACAAAAAAGTATTTACTCCCCAAGTTCAACAGAAAGTGCTTATATAGGACAACATTTTTTAAACTACTTTAGTTCACAAGCGGCCTGCTCTCAATTTCCTTGAGATTTTAATATGACAATAGAAAATTAAATGTGTCTATTCAATACTGCTTCCAAGTTTTATATCAGTAAAGAAAAAAAAAATCATGATTTAAAAAAATCTATCTAATTGGTCTACACATCAATTATGTTTTGCAGCCTCCCTCTTCACCCCTTTTCAGTAATGAGTAAGGGGAAATGGCCTGTATAAAAAAATGAAATTCTTAATATAGGTCTCAAGAATAAAACCACCTGGCAACTGAATAGGTTACATAAATCATACTTCCAAAATATACAAAACAAGTTTACCTTAACAAAAAGCCTCAAATAATATTCTGCATTATAACTAAAAAACCTTAACTTTTTTAGTCACGTAAGGTGTAGCCATTATTCAGTGGAAAATTATTACCATTTTAGTGTATTAATACCTACTTAAGAAATAAACAGTACGTTTATGTAAATTTTTATTAAATTTCTAACATTTGTCTCTTAGCCTTATAGCACTCTCTTTAAAATGACAGTATACCACTTATAAATTATTTCAAAATGACCAAAAATGTTTTTCAAGGCATAAAGCCTTAAAAAGCATACGCCTTCTTTAACAAGAACACAGTACACCTTGTGCTGAAGGACAGGCTGGCATTGTGCCAACTCACTGTGGAGAAGAAATTCTAGAGATACCCCACTTCCACCTCCACCCACTTTCCAGGTTCTGTGGCTTGTACCTTGAGAAGTTATCAAGAGAATACTCCATCTGCACACAATATAAGAGGGTGACACTCCTTAAGAATAATTTCTCATTTTAACAAACTGAACTAGATATTTAACCACATTTTAATGCATTAGCCATTTACGCTATTTTTTTTACTTCAGTAAAGCAGATTTTAGATCCACTATTATCCAAAAATGCTTACTGCAAACTTCAATTCAGCACCATTCTAGGCACTATAATATTTGGTGTAGAGTATTTCTAACAATAACAAATGAGAGGCAGTGTAGGAATACAATAATTTTCCTAGATCCAAAGCAGTGTCACCTCATCATTTTTTTTTGTTTTGTTTTGCTTTTGTTATTATTGCCCTCTGCTACAATGTCATTTCTTCAGTCTTCTTGAACCCAAAGGTGGCATAATGATAACAAAATTACATGTTTCTGAAAATATACAAATGGTTTATGGAGACTGCAAAAGTTCCTAAAGAAACCTCTTGGAACCAAAGGGCTATTGGTTATAGTAAATTAATATATTTATTCAGTAAATACTTTCTGGCATAGTTCTGTGTGAGATGCTATGCTTTAGAAGATACAAAAAATGAATTACGCCGGGCGCGGTGGCTCAAGCCTGTAATCCCAGCACTTTGGGAGGCCGAGGCGGGTGGATCACGAGGTCAAGAGATCGAGACCATCCTGGTCAACATGGTGAAACCCCGTCTCTACTAAAAATACAAAAAAAATTGGCTGGGCATGGTGGCGCGTGCCTGTAATCCCAGCTACCCAGGAGGCTGAGGCAGGAGAATTGCCTGAACCCAGCAGACGGAGGTTGCGGTGAGCCGAGATCGCGCCATTGCACTCCAGCCTGGGTAACAAGAGCGAAACTCCGTCTCAAAAACAAACAAACAAACAAACAAACAAACAAAAAATGAATTACACAATCTGCCCTTGAGGCACTTCTAGTCTTCTATAAGAGGCAGTACAGATAAGTATATGAAAGTAATAAGCTTTCTAAGCTAAAAGAGGTAGGAGAATGATCAAGTGGAAAGATACAAGTAAAGGGAGGGTGGTGACAAGAATCAGGAAAGATCTTTGAAGACAGATAAAATGTAGTCAGATACAAAGAGGAAGAAATGCATTCCATGCAGAGAAAAGTACATGAATGTGATGGAGATGGACCTGGGAGAAACGAGTAACAGCAGCATCAACAATTACTACTTCTACCAGCAGTGACTGCTCTCAATATGCCACGCACCAACTGCTTTATATGCTTGGTCTCACTTTACCCTTCCAACAACCCAATGCATTAGGGCACTATAATTATCCTGCTCCCTACCCCTCACCCCCTGGAATAGGAAAGGTTTAGAGATATTAAATAATTTGCTCACAGACACAAAGTAAGCAGGTGAACTGGGATTTAGATGATTCTGGAATTCATATTCTCAGCCATTCTGCTACAGGGCATTGCTAGTGGTTTGGTTTGGCTCAAAGACATGTTGGTGATGAGTGGGGAGAAATAAGGTCAGAAAGGGAGGTGGACACAAATTAATAGTATAAAATTCTAGGCTAAGAATTATGGAAAATTAGACAACAGGGAGCCACTGAAGAACAAGATTCTCATATGATGAAGGTTATACTTAAAGAATATTAATCTATTAGTGGGTTGAAAAGAGATCAAAAGTAAAGGAGGAAGAAATAATCTTTTTCCGAGTACCTTCTCACTAAGCACACACACTGTCCCATCACCCTTCAGAATGGCATACCTCATGAAGTAGAAATGACTAACTTCTCCATGACTGAACTGGAATGAGTAACTTTTCTGTGCCTAAACTTTCTTATTTGCAAATTAAGGTTAAATAATTTTCTGTAAGTCAGACAGCTAGAAGGGCCATCTTCACAATTAGCACTGGGTCTACCTGACTGCAGAGTGCATGCTCTTTCTACAATTCTACAGCAGGAAGTTTGTGGGAGAGTCACTGCAAAGGACCGACTGAAATCAGGGCCTAAATTAGAATAGTAACAATAGAAATGGGAATCTGAGATTTCGATCCAAGACGGCCGTTTAGGAACAGCTCAGGATTGCAGCTTCCAGTGAAAGTGCAGAGGGTGAGTGGACGCCGCATTTTTATCGCCCACAGACTAGGAAATTCCCAGATGGAGGAGCTCCACGTTCACCAGCGCGGCTGTTTCAGCCAGCGCAGCTGTGCCGGCCGGCGCCGCTACTTTGCCCCGCGTGGCTGCTTTGTCAGCACCCTGGAGCAGTGGTTCTCCGTACAAAATACACAGGTCTGGGTGCCCTTTTGGCTGGCGATTGGAGCCACGGAAAATCACCCATTCATCTGTTTAAAAAGGGGACTGAGCAGAGAACCAGGACAGTAGATTCCAGGGCAAAAAAAAAAAAAAAAAAAAAAAGCGCCACAAACCTCAGTGCCGCTGTTTAAGCCAGTGCAGTGAGTGGCCACAGGGGAAAACAAACAGACCCCAGCACCTCTTCAACAGGCGACTGGAACACCAACTTAAAAAAGGAGCTGAGGCAGGGAGCCAGGCGATCAGGCTCGGCTGGTCCCACCCCCACAAAAGAACAGCAACCAGAAACTCTGGATTGAGACTTTCACAGCAAGCGCAGCTGAACCCAGGATGGTCCAGCTCTGTGGGGGAGGGGCGTCCACCATTACCGAGGTAGCCCGCCAGGACAGAGGTAGTCGGCCAATGCTGAGGCAGCCCGCCGTTGCCAAGGCAACCCGCCATTGCTAAGGCAGCCCGCTGTTGCCAAGGCAACTCGCCACAGCAGAGAGACTCCGCCTCAACAGAGGCGGGCCACCATCGCCAAAGCCGTTCTAACTACACCCATATAAACAGGACTGCAGGGAAGTTCACTTGGCAGCGGGGCGGAGCGCACAGCAGCTCAGCAAAGCCTCTATAGGCCAACAGTGACTAGGCTGCCTCCTTGCTGGGCAGGG